GAGGTTTGTATATGATATTCGAGATAATTCAAAAGATCGATCATAAATATATAAAATAATAAAAATAAGAAAATAAATTTTGCACTGGAACATTTTCATTGCTTTTGTTTCTTACCGTGCGTTTTACATAAAATTTTATCTGAATTGAGGGAACATGAATACTTATTGAGTTGGTGAAACTCATTAAATTTTATCATGATATTTTTCAGATGAGAAAGAAGATGTAGAACCGGTGTCAGACGAGCAGAACCTGTAAAAATAATTCATATTTTGTATATTTTGTGCATATTCGAGAAATTTCCGTTTTGTTTTGTTAAATTTTAAATTTTAACATCATGTTCTGTATACATAATTACAGTATATATATCACGTAAGATGTTAAGTTGTATGATAAATTTTGAAGTGTATATTTTGTGGACCCGTTGCATGAAAATGACATGAGCAAGAATTACGCTTTATATCGAGTGTCGGAGCATGACATCAGTACTCATAATTTTACTATCAATCGGATCTTGTCGCAATTTAACTCAGACATATATACATTAATTATTTTTTTAAAAAAAAAAAATGTAAGATTTATAGTATGGAAGTGAGCAAGAGTAGTTCCAAGGATCGGTGTTGATACATGTGAATTGTAAGCGGTGAATTTACGGATGAAATCACGTGATATAAACAACAGTACGTTGCGTTTTGAAGACAAGGCACGTGACTTGTGTGCATTTCAGTGTCCACAGCCAAAAAAAACCTTTTAACAGCAGTCACTGCAATGCTTTTTCTAGTTGCTCGTTGTGTTCATCAACTCATTTCATTAACAACCTGGAACTTTCATGTGTGTACATATTATATACACATATACATACACAATAAATTATAGATGGTCTTCTTTTATACATGTTTATCCAAATCTCGATTATATACATATACATATGCATATATAATGAAGGTAAATAATATGCTTTCAGTTGCAGCGAAGAAACATATTAGTTGGAGAATATGTGGAAGGTAATATGAATAATTATAAAAAAATAAAAAACAAAGCTAGAATTAGTTATGTCTCTATGAATACTACAAACTTTTGGAAGTGGAATATTCAAAATCATAATTATATTAGTAACTAAACCCACTATTTTTTTTCTTAACTTGTTCACGTATGAATTATGGTCAGCACGTAAATCCAATCATGGAATAGGTAGGTAGAACCTACTACTCTCCCTAGCCTAATATATATATATATAAATTTATAATTAAATTAAATGATAATTAAGGCTAATTTAATTTAACCCATAATCCGTAATCTCGTGGCTTCTTTTAGAAAGGGAAAATAATAATAATAATAATATCACTTTACTTACAGTAAGCAGTTGAACCAAAAGGGACACATCTTTTCCTTCCTTTTTAAAAGGGAACTAAAGAGGGAAATCAACTGCAACACGAATAAGGCATTGTGATAGAGTATAGAATATCCTCCTCCACACGTCATCACTGATGACCTGTCCCCACCCACCACGTCATCACGCCACGTCAACAAAGACCCAACCGTAAAATAGCCTATATATATACACATACATATACATATTACATATGAATATAAGACTGGGTCGTATAGTTCCATTCAACGTTTATTAATTGCCTTACAGAAAAAGACTTGAAACCAACCAAAGTCTTCTTCTTCTTCTTCTTCTTCTTCTTCTTCTTCTTCTTCTTCTTCTTCTACTCTTCTTTTTTTTTTTTTTTTCTTTTGGTATGAAGGTGACGAGTGCTTCGCTGAATCTTGGATGCCAAGAAAGTGATCGAAGAGAAAATAAATAAATAAATAAATAAATAAAAAGATAGTTTACAAAGGAGATTACTTAATTCAGTGAACTGTACGTAGCCATCAACCTCATTACATGGAAATGTTCAATGATTCAAACACTACAATCACTACGACTCCGCAGACCTTCCACATGCAAATTCAACGATCAATTATCCCATCTACAACCCACATCAAGGTCTCATCTTTGACTTCTTCTTCAAGCTTTTCTTTCTTCTCACCTTCTTCAGCAAGATTCGTTTACTATTTTCTTTCTTTATCTTTAATTTCTTGGTTTCCCCTTTCTTGATTCATCTGCAACACAGTTTTCTCTTCAATTGTGTTGTTAATGTTTCATCTCTAAGCTAACTCTCTTATCAGTTGACTTTCTGCTATATGTGTTTATACCAACTTATTTTTCTTGTTGGGTTTTGTAAGTTCTTCTCCTATTTGTTCTTTGTATGGGTTTTGTAGGTTCAAGAAGGGAGATCACAGGACCAAGCAACAGTGGCGGGTGGTCAATTCTCCAAAAAGCTGTTTCAAATCCTTTTCTATTCCCACCTGATCCTAATTGCCATTTTAGCACTGGTATTAACAATTAAAGGTTTAGTCTCTGCTCGCAGACACCATTTCTATCCGGACAAATGGTACCCTCCACTTCTCATTTCAATAGCATGTGCTGGGGTTTTTTCCTTCACATGGCAATGGATCACTCTCCTCAACCCATCAAAAGCATTAAGAGCTGCCTTTTGGTTAAGTCCCTTGCTAACTTGTGCTATTAGCATACTTCTTGTACTGGTTGGCTCGACTGCAAGTTCATCGATTGGCGCAGTTATACTCCTTTTTGCACTGATTCAATCCCTCTACGCCTGTTGGGTCAACCCCAGATTTGAATATGCAAGCAAGGTCCTCTCTGTTTCTATTGCTTTCCCTCCAGCCAACACCACAAAGCTCGTGGGTCTATCGATTGCTGTGGGTGTCCTCTTCTCCTGCTTCGTGGTGTCTGGCATTGGAGGAGCAACCGCCACTTCAACTGGTGTAGACATTTTCTTCATCTCAGCCATGGTGATCAGTCTTTGGTGGTCTATGCAAGTGATCAAGAACACACAGCAGGTGACAATCTCACGAGTAAGGCACCTAAATTTTGCAACTGGGGCTGATATGGATGACAGGATTGCCTTCAGGGACACGGTTAGGGAGTTGATGGGAAGGGTGTGCATAGGTTCCACGATTGTGCCAGTCGTGGTAGTTGTAAGAGGATTTTCCAGAGGCATTAAATTGATTGCTGGAGACAAAGACGAGTTCTTGTTCTCCTGTGCTAATTGCTTCTCTAGTGTGGCCAAGGCACTGGCATCTTATGGTAATAGATGGGGGTTTGTGCAGGTGGGAGCTTATGATAAAGACTTTGTGCAGGCTTCGATCGATACATGGGAGATGTTCAGGAGGAGAGGATTGGAGCAACTAATTGACTCAGATCTAACAAGCTCATTCTGTTTTTTATGTGGGATGATAGGAGGTGCAATATGCAGTTTGGTTGCAGGAACATGGGCACTTGTAATTCACAAGAACTATGCCACAGAACTGAGTATATATGCTTTCTTGATAGGGTATTTCATGGTAAAACTTGACCTTCAGCTAATTTTATTCATTATCCTAAAACATGTAAGCAGATTAAGAGTGTCTGTGTACTTACATTGGTTGTGTTGCAGTGCCGGGTAGCAATGGCGTGGCCGCAAGCATGTGTTTCAGCTTACTACGTTGCTTATGCTGAGAATCCACAGAACATGCGGTTTGACTCAACGATCCCAGACCGTCTTCAAGAGCTCCAAAGATACAGTGTTTGACAATCACTTTGGAGGAAGAGCAGCAGAGGCCAGCAACTGAAATTTCTATTAGGTCTTAGAATTCCAACAAGAGAATCATCAAATTGGATGGTGCTGAAATTAATGTTCATTCAAGTCACATAAAAGGTTTCTTTTCTCTTCTGAAAAAGAAAAATCTTCCGTTTTCTTTTCATTCTTTCCCTGGAAGTAAACATGTCTTTTTAATGCCTTCGATTTTTTTAACCCTCAAAACATGTACAAGTTGGTGAATTTTCTTTCTTCTGATGCCAAATTAAGGCTTTCTTATTCGCCTCTGGGTCTCATGTAACTATTCCATTTGCTCCATTAATTTCTTTAGAAGTTTTTATTTTCTATTTCATGTGTTTATTTATGAAAAACACATACGGAAGCATTTGTTTATTGGCTAATCAAATATATAAACAGTTTTATAGAAAACACTCAGATCAACTTTTTATTCTTTTCAAATTTCATCCTCATTGGTACTATCATTTTCTAAATATTGGTTACACTGTTAACTACTTTTTTCTTTTATAAAATAAACATGGGTTAATTTAAACAACTAAAACTAAAATATATTTACATTTAACAAAACGGACCAGAAGAAAATAATTCATACATATTCATGTCAATCTACCAAAAGGGCAATACCAGCAGCTTCCCGATGGAGCAGATGCTCTCCAATCTTTCAAGGCAATACAGAATGTAAAGGAAGATGATAAAATCACCGTGAAACATCGAATAGACTTATCACATAATATAAATCAATAAGCCTTTTCTATAAAACAAGACTACAGGGAATGCATACTTTTTTTTTTGCTCATTGTCTACCATGCACCTTCAGAGGTGATAAATTCCAAGCAAATGCACGCTTTCCTTGTTCGTATGACAAATGAAACGGTTGCCAGGTACAATGGTAATTACAAGTAGCAGAACAGCTGCAGTTAGAACCTTGCTAGATTTAGCTTCTATTGCAGGCAATCCTGGTTAAGAATGAATTTCTTCAATTCAATTTCAGCTC